AGAAGCCATGAAAAGCTCATAATGGAAGGCAGCAGCTCAAGCCAAATATGATGCACTAATGAAAAACAACACGTGGACACTTGTTTTACTGCCGAGTAGTAGGAAACCAGAAAGTTGTAAGTGGATTTTTAAAATCAAAAGGAATGCTGATAGGTCTATAGCGAGGCATAAAGCCCGACTTGTGGTGAAGGGTTTTTTACATCAGCCTGGAATTGACTATCATGAAGTTTTTAGCCCTGTGGTCAAACCATCAACTGTGTGTGTCGTTCTGTCACTTGCATTATTGAAATGGTGGTCATTAAAGCAAGTTGATGCAACAACGTCTTTCTGAATGGAGTCTTAGCTGAGGAGGTGTATATGATGCAACCGCCAGACTATGAGGAGGGTGATGGTAGCTTGGTTTGTAAACTCAACAAAGTCATTTATGGCTTGAAGCAGGCCCCTCGAGCATGGTTCGAGAAGCTCTAAGAGTATTTGAAGAATCAACAGTTTGTACTGTCAAGGTCCAATGCCTTGTTTTTTGTTAAGAAAACTGCTGGTAATATTATATACTTGCTTGTATATGTAGATGACATCATTGTGACTAGAAGCTGTGAAAAAGAAGTTCAGGGTGTGATTAACAAACTCAATAGTCAGTTTGCTTTGAAGGATCTAGGGTGTTTGATTTTTTTTTGGGAATTGAGGTATGTGGATCAAGTGATGAAATTATCCTAAGTCAGCAAAATTACATATATTATCTTTTGTGCAAGAGTGGTCTGGAAGATGCTAAAGGACTTCCCACACCTATGGCTACTAGTTGCAAGTTAACTGTTGACAATGGGACACCGGTTAAGGATGCTACTCACTATCGGAGTGTTGTTGGTGCATTGTAGTACGTTGCTATCACACATCCAAACATTGTTTTTGTTGTGAATTGGGTGTGCCAGTTTATGCAGTCTTCTTGCCATGTTCACCTTCAGGCAGTGAAACGCATACTAAGGTACTTACAGGCCACTGTCGACTTTGGTCTTCGATTTTCAGCATCGTCTCGCTATCCTTGACAGGGTTTGCTAATGCAAACTGAGGGTCAGATGCAGATGACAGACGTTCAAACTCGGGCTACTGCATCTATTTTACTAGAAATTTAGTTTCTTTGGGCTCTCGCAAACACGGGTGGTTGCTCGCTCCACTGCAGAGGCTGAGTGTAGGAGTGTTGCATGTGTTGTTGCTGAGATAGAGTGGCTTGAGTCTCTTTTAAGTGAACTACGTGTGATTGTTCATGGAAAATATGTTTTGTGGTGTGATAACTCTAGCGCTGTTGCAGTCTGTGCGAATTCAATACTTCATTCAAAGTTTAAACATGTTGAGCTTGATTTCTTATTTGTTAGGGAGATGGTGGCTGCTGGAAAACTCTTTGTTCAGGAGGTTCCTGCTTTTCAGCAAGTGGATGATTTTCTAACTAAGTCGTTGTCTGCCCCTATGTTTCTTAAACATAGACTGCAGCTGCTCGTGTCTCAAATCCCAGACAAATTTGTTGACTCGCGGGTTGAAGAATGAGTAAAGCCTAAGCAAGGTAGAAGTTGCAGTCCGGGGAATGTTAGTGCACGAGTTTGCATGCTCTTCGGGTTTTCACGTGGAGTTGGTGTTTTAAACTAAGAGGAGTCTGCAGTAGGGGGAGTGTAGATGCATGGTGTTGTGTACACCTCGATTTCACGTAAGTTGGTGGTCTTAAACAATGAGGTTTTTACTGTAGGGGGAATGTTAGTGTGCATAACCTGGAGTAAGTTGTTTGCTTAACTGGCTTCTCACAGTTAGATTTATTAGAGTCAGTTAAGGTTGTTGTGAGCTATTGTAACTGTCAGAGCTTCTAGAATTGCTCTTATCTGGTGTATAAATGTAGCTCTCTTCAATTGAGAGAAAATGATTTTTTGTGAGATGAATCAAGTTCTATAATCTTGTTTCATGTTTTCTTCTCGTTTCTTTTAGTTTGCTCTTCCTTGTGACTGTCAAATGCTATAGTGAAACTATAACAGAGATGAGGTAATGTTATGAACCAAGAATCAAATAAGGGTATGAAAAATTATGCCAATAGAACTAACGAGGTTGGTTTAAGTGATAAACAACTTGATATCGTTTAAGTTTCTAGTTCGAGTCTTTGTGTATACAGAAAATCCTCGCTGAGAGATGCACCTACCAAAATCAGGTGTGCAATGCGAGTCGATCCAGATTAGTCAGAACGAAATCCTAGAATCGGGAAGCCAACCAAAAAAGTATGCCAATAAAGGATCATTTAAATATATAATTGAATCACTTAGTAAGATTTTATTTTAATTATATTTCAGAAATATTAGTATGAATAAATTATGATGATATAGGAATATGGATATGATCAGAGATAGATCGAAGGGGTGGGTGAGCGCAGTCACCCCCTAAATTTTTTAATTCTATTATATTTTAGGTATTTTTTGTATTTTTTTTGACAATATGTTTTCACTCCTAAACATTTGTTAGGATTTTTTAGGTTATATGAACAATCGAAAAAGTGATAAGAGGAAGTGAATTGCTCTTTTCAAAAATTTTGGGTGTGAAAGTAAAAAGATAATAAAATTTGTACAATGATTTATAGTAGTTCAATTTTCTCAATGAAATCTACGTTCACTACCTTAGTTCCAGATTAAGGATTTCTAACAAAATCACTAATTTATTCTTTCCTTTTTAAGCTCAAGAGTAACATTTACAAATCTCTATATTTTCAAATGCTAAGATAGAACCACTCCCTTTTTTACAGAAGAATAAAAGAAATAAACAAAAAACCTCATAGGGTAGGTGTTTACCAATTTAAACTCTCAAGAAAAATAATTAAAAGATTTGCAATAAGCTAAAACAATTATGTATAAAAGAAAAAGGGTAATTAAAGAGTGAGGGCTTTTCTCTTGATCTAGATTGCTTGAATATGTATTGTTGTAACATTACTCAAGTGTTCTTGTGTTGTTTTTTATAAGTTAAAATATGTTTATGGTCGTTTCAAGTATTTGGGGACTTAATTTTTTACAAAATAAAACTTACAGCACATGAAATATCAATACTTCCTTTTTGAAGTATTGGTATTGCTCTTCCTTTTAGAGTATTGGTACTTTCTTTATAATACTTAAATAAACTAGTTGTTAATGATCACTACCTTAGTTCCACACTAAGGATTTCTAACAAAACCACTAATTTATTCTTTCTTTTTATATGTTAAAGAGTAACATTTACAAATCTCTATCTTTTCGAAGGTTAAGATAGAACCAATCTCCTTTTCACAAAAGGATAAAAGAAGTCAACAAGAAAATCTCATAGGGTAGGTGTTGACAAATTAAAACTCTCAAGAAAAATAATTAAAAGATTTGCAATGAGCTCAAACATTTAAGTATAAGATAAAAATGATAAATAAAGAGTGAAAGTGATTTCCTCTTGATCTAGATTGCTTGGATATGTGTTGTGGTAACCTTCTTCAAGTGTTCTTGTGTTTGTTTTATAAGTTGAAATTTGTTTGTGATTGTTTCTAGCCGTTAGGGACTTAATTTTCTACAAAATCAAAGCTGACCAAAACAAGGAATATCAGTACTTCCTTTTGGAGTATTGGTACTTCATTTATAATATTTAAATAAACTAGTAGTTAATGTCAGCAAGAATAGTATCAGTATTATATATGCAACACAATATCAATACTACTTACCTAGAAAATTGTTTTGTGTTCAAATTCAAATTTTATGGACTTTGAATTATTTTTAAAAACTTTGTACGAATTCAATCAAAACCAAAAACATTTTATCCTTAAATTGTTATATCAAAATATAGGTTCAACAAATTTTGTAAATTTGTCCTTTCAAAAAAAGTTATATATTTGTCTCATATCATAAAATCTTACATTTGTTTCTTGATATAATATTTTATAAAATCTTATATTGTAATTACTTTCTTCTAAGGATTTAATGTTATTTACCGAAAATTTTCTGCTTCACTTTATTCTTCTTTATTTTTCTTATTGCTATTGTTATGATAGCAAAAATATATATATAACAAGGACTCTAAGATATTAATAATAGAATAACTAGACTTGAATTTTTGTATTGTGAATTCTCTTGAAATTATTTTAATAATTTATTGGTCAATTATAAATATTAAGAAATATAAATTCTTACAATTAATTTTTTAAAATAATCTGAGTGATTATAAAATAATATTTATTTATAATCTCTTTTATTTATTAACAACACGCACATATCTTATAAACTCAACTATTTAAACATAGAACTCGTAAAAAACAACGTTTTTTACAACTAATTTACCGAAGCATTCAAACCCAAATTCTATAACCCATACCAATAGGAAAATAAAATTTTATATAGCTTGAAACCCAAATTTAATTTAGATCATTACGAAACCAAAACGCAACCTAAAATTATAAAATTTGATAATGGCTCCAAAAATAAATTGAATGTTTGTTTATTTAGACCTTGTTTGGGTTTCATTTGGTAAGATGTAAGGCTTCGTTTTGGCTTCATTTGGTAAGATGTAAGGCTTTGTTTGGGCTTCATGCTACTTTAGAAATTTGAAATTGAAGGCAGCTTAAAAGGCCTTAATTTCAAAACCCTGCATTTTATGTTAGAAAAAACTACACATTTAGTACTTCAACTATTTCTTTTATTCCATTATGGTCATTCTATTATTTTTTCAAAACCATACCGAAAATTACATTTTGATTTCATTGTAATCACCCACTATTAAAAAATTAATAAAATTGCTGACATTCTTTTTTTTTTACATGATATGACATTATCTTATGGTGACATGTTAATATCACAGTTAATTTTTTAATAATGGGTGACCAGATTGAAACAAAAATTAAGCATTAAGAATGATTTTGATAAATAAAATAATTGATTGACCAAACCAGAATAAAAGTTATAATTGATATACTAAATGGTAGTTTACCCTTTATTTTATTTTTTTTCATTCTTATTCTACGGACCAATCTTCACCGAACACAGTGTGAAACCCAAGTAAAAACCCATCGAAGAAAAATGCGCCTTTTCTCTTCAATTCGACAAGCTCGCCTTTTCTCTTCTTCAGCTTTGATTCAACGCTTTAGCAGCTTCAACTGGGTCTCTCAATCTTCATCCAACCGCTATGGTTTTCTTGGTAAGTTACTCGCTTTCTTTCAATCACGTTTTTGATACACGAGGTGGGAGATTCTGCAACAATTTGAATGTTTAAGTTCTGCAGCAATTGGAAAGAAAACGACTCTTTCTTTGGCTTAACAAGATAGAGTTCTGGCTGACTTTGGTGGGAAATTCTGCAACAATTTGAATGTTTAAGTTCTGCCTTTCTTATTCCATATGGGTAGTAATATAATTCAATGGATGTTAGAAACTAATCTCTGCAAACTTTGGAATTCTCATTGAGTAATTTCTGCAAACAGTTGTTGGGCATAATCTAAAAATATGTATTTTTATTTACATAGTTACTGTATCACTTTAGTGAATCTAAATATTCTACAAATATGTATTTTTATTAACATAGTTACTGTATCACTTTAATGAATCTAAATATAGTTTTGGAAATGGAGTTGAATTTTCGCATGGGTTGAAATTAATTCAAAGGAATATAATTTCTTGTTTCAACTAAACATAGTGTCACTGTTATATATATATAGAGAGCGGGAGGCAGGATTGGTTCGTGTAATGCTCTTTTTAGTTTTATACCTTTTTAGAATCGTTTGACGAGTGAAAAGAGACTGATATAACTATTAGAATAAGTTAAGCAACTTTGAGTAAACTTGGGATGAAATGGTCTGTGAATGTGATCTGTACATTGATTGTGAAATTAGGATAAAGTACTGTATACGTACTTGGTTTGCAATCAGTGAAAGGCTTCATAGCTGAAAATATTATGTAATAATCTTCCAATTTGTATAACAGATTTTATTTTATAGGTTGTTTAAAGAGTTACAGTGCTGGTGCATTTCCTGGGAATGAAGGAAATCCGGAGAAGAGTTTTGGTCAACAAACAGAGAAGGAGAATATCTCTGCTACGTATACTTCGGATTTCCGGAATAATATTCGTCCTTTAGGTCAGAAAGACTTCAGGTCGGGCGGGAATCTCAGGCCCATGGATTCTGTGAGGGAAGCAATAAATGGAGATACAATGGCAAACTATAGGGGTTCACAATTTCCTGGGAATTATGGAAATCTGGAGAGGAGTTTTGGTCAACAAACAGAGAAGGAGAATATCTCTGTGAGGTATGCTTCGGCTTTCCGGAATAGTACTCGTCCTTTAGGTCAGACAGACTTCAGGTCGGGCAGGAATCCTAGGTCCATGGATTTTGTGAGGGAAGCAATAACTGGAGATACAATGGCAAACTATAGGGGTTCACAATTTCTGTCAGACAATGTCGTGCAGAATGAACATTTTGCGCACATAAAGCTGATGCGCAACAATACGTTTGTCACTGTGACAGATTCCAATGGGAATAAAAAATGTGGAGCCTCGGCTGGAGTTCCTGGACTTTTAGGAGCCTCGAAAGTGTCCAAGTATGCTGCCGAAGCAGTGGCGGAATATGCAGGACGGAAGGCAAGGAGAATGGGGATAAAGTCGGTTGTGGTAAGAGTGAAAGGTTTTACCCATTTTAAGAGGAAAAAACAAGCAATTCTTAGCTTTCGTGAGGGATTTAAGAATCCTATTGTCTTCATCGAGGATGTCACACGTCATCCACATAATGGATGCCGGCTTCCGAAGAAGAGGCGTATTTAACTTCCTCGCTTTCTTTATCATGAGGGCTTGATTGAGATTGTGAAAGTATGTTGGTTTCTGTTGGCAAGGTACTCCGTTATGTCAACTCGAATTCTTTCATGTTTTTCGATTTTCGGTTCCTTCGGTAGTTCTCCATAAATTTTCTGGCGTGCCTGATAGACTGTATTTGTTATCTGATTTTGATTTAGTAGCTGTTGAGATTATATCTCTTGCTTCATATCATACAAAATGGGTTAATTTTTCTTCATATGCGGAAGAGTACATGTTCTTTCTGTCTTGTTTATGATTTTGTTGAATCATTTTTGGGTCTTTAAAATACAAAATTGGCCTCGGCTTTGTTTTTTTTTTCTTTCTAAATTTTCTTAAGTTTGATCTATATTTTATTGCATGCAAATAAGTTTTAACATTTTTATTTTTGCCAAATAAGTCTTTATTCAAAGATAATAAAAAAATGCTAATGTTATAGTCAACACCAACTTAATTTAAAGCTTGACATTGAGGTGAATTGACTGACCTCGAGGAAATAAGACTATAGATGAGGAAGAATATTTGCTAAAAAGCTGAAGGTGGTTATTATATGGGAAAAAAACCAAAAAAATATATTTATTGGATTAATACTTCTCGAACAGTATTGGCTAGAAAAATATACCTCAAACTTTTCACGTGTAACCCCTTAGACCGATACGGATAATCCGATCCGATCCAGGGTGTCACAATAGGGCCATCGGAGCGACCCACTGTAAAAATAGCGGAAAATTTAAAATTTTTCTTAAAACTTGTAAACTCATTAAATCATTTATGAGTACAAAATAAAAGTTATCAGTATTCGAAATAAAACAGATTTTCAGACTCGTATATAAAACAAAATACAATTACATGCCCCCTAATCACATGTATTATACTCTGTAAACAACGCCGGAAGAATTCATTTACTAATGTCGATAGATGCACTGGTTCAGTCTTTTAACCTGCAATGGTGAGTAATAGAGTGAGCTTCGGAAAGCTCAGTAATACAAAACTATCAGATGATGCTGAAGAACATGCAGATACAAATAAACATATAATTGGTTCAGATATCTACAGATTTTTAGGTTGAGCTGAGATCCTACTGATAATTCAGGTGGAAACGGACAATGAGCTTTCAGTTCAGAGAAATATTTCGGATGTCTGAGTTCAGGAGATCAGAATAAGTTATTTAGTGTGTTCCCGTAAAACTAGTAAAAAGATACATATATTTTTTAAAACATATATATATATACCTCCATCATTTCAGAATATGTTTGTGTAGGTTCCCCGGAACCATACACCCAACTCACACAACTTGTAAGGCCCTGAGCACAAAGCCGAGGAACCTGCAGAAATACTTCCTCCAACAATACCCCCCAAATAAAACATTTTTCCGTCAGTAAACAGAGATATCAGAAATCAAAACAGAATTCAGATCAGATATCATAACAGAATCCAGAACAGAATTCAAGTCGAAAATCAGATAAAAAATTTATGTAATTAGGTAACACACTAATGTTTACAGATATTATTAAGAGATACTAGATATTCTTATCAGGCAGAGAAACATGTATCTTCAGTTTACCGATAGAATGTCGGAAGTTAGAATCATTGTTGGAAGAGTTTATTAGCTGACGGAATAATCAGTTATTCAAAATATGATTTATCAGGATCATATCTTATTCAGACATTTTTCGGAAGCTTAACGTAATCATAAGGGTATTCATAATCCTTTACAATCTTTGTCGATTTAATTGGATTATCGAACAACTCCAGATGAATAACTCCCAAAACTAATGCTTGTTGACTGGTCAATTCATTATTCTTCCAGGATATTTACTTTTTAATACAAAAAATTCTTATCCATAGATTATCTTCGGAATCATCGCTGAATAGATCTTAAGGAAATTAACAGATATTTCAATGCTCTTTATTTTATTTTCACGTTTCCACGATATTATGAAATGTTGACATGCTTGATTTGTAGTTCATAATCCATAGGGATGATACATCAAGTAAGTTTATCCGAGTTTTCAGGCTTATTCCAATCTCTTACTTAATTCTCATTCCTTGAGGTTACCTAGTTCATTTAGCAGTCAAGTCTATTTCTGTTACTTCGGGATTTTCCAAAGTAATTCAGACGTTTCTGAATTTCATATACATATTGTACTTCTGTTCAATTCAATTTGGTCTTCGTGGTTGATTTATCGAACAAATATCCAATTCTTAGTACTGGGTGCGATCTAGAGTTGAGCTGAACTGAGAAGACGAACACACATTCAAGTGATATCTATATTGTTCAGGTACTGACATATCATTAGCGTTGGTCAACTCACTTAATCTGAATTCAATAAGTTTTAAGGGTAGTTCAACACCCATGTTTTTTTGGATTCCTTAATTAATCCAAGACATTTTCTTAATCTAGTCCATAAGGTCATTTTGATTATTTTGGTGCTCAATGTTTTTCCATTTATTTCAAAGCTTGAGGATATCCATTTATTCTTGGGCTTGGTGATATTCTTCAGTTATTTCCATTATAGGGGTATTTTGGTCATTTTTCTGATCCAACGTATTTCAATCCTTTCTTTCATCTTGATCTTATTACTTAATTCAAACGTATCATCTTTTCTAGTCATTTCGAACAATTTTGACAAAAGAGCACTCTCGAAAATTTATTCTTAACGCGCACATTTTCAAGTCAATTGCCTTTTCACAAGTTACTTACAGGTTATCTGGAACTTTTCTGTACAAAGACAGATTCTTAATAATTAAATCCATAATTTATCGAGTTACGTACGAATTCTCAAAGTACTTTCTCATTCAGGGTCAACTCGGACTATTTTTACCTCTCAATGGCATTTTCGTAATTTTTTAACCAGATAATTTCGGTATTAACTTTTAACGAACATACTTATAATTTAGAGATCATATGGTTAATTACTTCCCCGAACATTCTCTGATCTTGAAATGATTCATTAACAGACTTCTAATATCTTGCATAAACCCTATTGGGGTTAAAAACCGGTTATCCAAATTTCCTAAGCAAAACTAGTATTTCTATGCACGTCAGTAGTTTCATCAGATCAATATGTCTTTACAACTTCTTATCCAACTTCCATGGTCAATTCTTATCTTTTTACAACATAAGGGTATTTTCGTAATTTTACCTAATCGAAGTATTCTCTAATTTATCGCTTAAAACATATTCAATTTGAATCCATCCATAAACAAACATGTATAATAGTCCAATCATATACATCAATGCATTTTTCAATTTTCAACATGTTCTATAAAGCATAAAGATGTAGTAATGTATTATCTCGATTTCCGTGCCATACTGATCGACCATAAAAAAATCATTCGAATGTCCCAATATTAAAATCAACTTCCAATAATTCCTCAGATACATATCAACAGAAATTACATCAGAAACAGAGCTTAATTGCGAAAACGGATCGAATCGGGTAATAAATCAGTGAAACACAGGTTACCGGGTTCGAATTGGCGATACGAACTTAATATTTGGATTCAGGACATCAAAAAACATCAGGATAAGTATACCTGGAAAAAGTCAACGGCCGTTTAATGGCCGATCAACGCCGGTCAAAGTTATGGTCAAAGGTAGTCAACGACGGTCAACGGTTTTATACAAATATGACCCTAACAGAAATTAATTACATATTAGGCACTATTTAAAAAAATATTTACAAAACTAGCACCTGAGTTTTTTTCCTTGTTAACCGGTGCAGAACAATCCCCGCGTGCCGTGCAGCGTCCTCGGAGCCCCTATAAATCCCGAAAAAATTTCTAAAAATTATTTTATGGCATTTTGAGACGCTTACCAAGCTCGGTTCACAATTTTGAACAGTGGAGAGCTCGATTCTGAAACGTTGGAAACTTTAACTTTCTCACCCCTCCACGTGTCGACGACGACGGAGACACGGAGGACACCAGTGGACTCGGAACGATGCAAGGAACACGATGGTGTGGGTGGTGTCGAAAACGGATGGGAGTATCGACGTGAATCGACGGAAAACCAACAAAAATTGAGTTAAAACTGACAATACTTCTGACTGAAATTAACGACAAACGACGACGAAACATGACGAAAGGTTTGAGGGTTTTTGTTCATCTTTCGATAACGAAGACGATGGTGGTTTCGATTCGTCGAACGAAGGCCGGACGGTGAGTAGATCGGAGTTCAAAGGAGAAGAGGAAAATGGAAAAAATCTGCAGAAACTGATCGGGGAAATGATATACATTTTCAACATATATGAAAAATGGTTAAATTCAGGACTAGGTCACTGAATTTCCTGCACTTTATAAAACGGTCTGCCAACTTTGAAATTTTACAATTTAATCCTTAATTTCTTTCAAAATACCAATTAAATCCAATACTTTAAAATTACTAAAATTTAGCCTCTAAATTTGGGTGTTACAATTCTCCCCTCTTTAAAAGAATTTCGTCCTCGAAATTCATTCATGTCACATAATTGCAGAAATGAAAATTCCATCAATTCTTCCATATCTTCAAGTAGCTTTTACAGAAGTACGAATCCTCCACTAATCCATAACCATTTGAGCATACATTCTTATCTGAACTTTTCCTCATTCCAATAAAAGAATCTGAACTTAAATTCCTTGAATAATCAATTCAGTCTTGGTTATGAGAATAGGCTTATAGTGCAGTAACATATCCTAATTTCATTTCTGGAGTTGGATCGGAATTTCTTAGATTCGTTACTTTAACATGACTCGTGAGGTACTTTACAGAAGTCAGATAAACGTTATTGGTATTCCTTAATGCAAAGGTGGAGCCTTAACGGATAAAAACTTAGGTTTGGTCGTTACAGATAGGGACTCAATCTTAGAGTTCCAGCTCAGAGAGGTACGATTGTAGTCTAGGGGCATGTACTGATCAAACATCTTTTTAAAATTCGACCGACCAGTCTATCTTAAAATATTTGACTAAACTTGGCTCTGATACCACTAAATGTAAACCCCTCACACTGATACGGATAGCCCTATCCGATCCAGGGTGTCACATT